CAGTAATAATGCCCTGCTGTCTACAGTAAAAGCTTTCTTTTCTGAACAGGAATCAAAGAACTTATATAAACTCTTTATATTGATACAGAGATGAAATAAGATCATCAGCAGGTTGGCTTAACGTGTGGGCCACCACACGTCGAGTTAGCAAAGGAAGAATGGGCTGCAGACTACAACTTAGTGAACGAATAAACTGTGCAGTTCCAAAATGAGGATGCAGAGGAGATCTCAACTTCCAAGCAGGAAGGAGGAAATCCCACAAGCAAAGATGTCTGAAGTGACACCTTCGTCAGGAGAAATAAGAGTTCAGGAAATGGGCCTCTGTAGGGTCAGAAACCAGCATCTAGGAAATAAATGGACTTTTTTTCTCTGCAGACTTCTCAACAGGATGGCATTGTCCCGTTAGGTGGAACTCTGTAAATAGGTCCCTATTGATCACCGGTAGGAATTACATCCTCTTTCATACTTGTAGAAAAGGGAAATCAAAACAAGGATCTTAATCTTCAGACTTTGCAGCATTAGGCAGCATTTGATTTAAGAAGGAAAGAAAAATTAAGAATATGCTACTGCTTTTATTTATAACTCAATCTTCATCTACAAGTGAATTTTCAGTTCACTGTATATTAGCACAAAAGCATGCACGTGAGACTTGATCATTTTCAAGGAAACTTCATGATCGATGTCAAATTCAGAAAGCACTTATTTAGTTCTGTCAGAAAGAACTTGAGCATGCAACTTGATTGCAGAAGCTTGGAAACATTTCTGTCTGCCACATGAAATTCCCATCAGCCCAAAAATCACAAGACAGCTCACTTTCAAATCATTTACATTCTTCAGTACCAGTTCAATGTCCTTTTGCCAAGGAGGCCTGCCTAAGCGTGTAAAAGGGGAACTTCTCACTTGCTAACAGCAGCCTGCCCCATCCTTGCCTTGGCATGCTCTTTGGTGGTTTGTTCCCTATGAGTTGCACACAGTTTCCTTTTGCTCAAATTTGTGGAGAGGGTATGAATCACAGGTTCATAAAGTTGTAACTTGATCAGTGCTTGAAATGTTTCAAAATACACATGTAGAGCAGTGCTAATTACAGTACTTCAGACTGGGAATCCTAAACCCTTTACTAGATTGCAGCAGTTCACAGATATTTAAATGAAAAAGCTTAAAGCTGGTTGTTTTAAACCTCACAAGTTTCAGTAATTCACCTCTCTTAAAGCATTCAGAAGGGCAGATACTTCTATCAACTTATCTACCTGACAGATCCTCTGGAAATCATTATATTTCTTTAATAGATTTGTGTCAAAGAAAGAACCATGAAGAAGTATTTATAGGAGCCCAGCAACAATGGGTTGCACATATGAATAAGCCATCAGTCCAATGCTAAATCACATCACACCCCATAGTTAGCTGTTGCTTATTGATTAGTTGCCATGTTTTGGATATACTTAGTCAGCTTATTGGTGGTTAGTCTGCTAACTCTTGTGTTTATATGCATTGGAGGTTAACTAAGTTGTTAAATACAGGAGGAAGAAACCCTGTGATGGTACAACTGAGGTCACAGCCATTGCACTCTCCCCTTCTTTTATGTTTAAATTACCATATTTAAAGAAGTTAAACGATGCAGACCAAGGGATAGCAAGTTTAATTAGCTAAACCTGCACTTCTGGAAGCAAAAGGACAACACAGCAGTTTTGTAGCCATCTTACAAAACTGGTTCTCCTGTGCAGGGAAAAAAAAAATTAACAGCTGACTAAACTTCAGCTCCATCTTCACAGGTCTGTACAGTCCTACCTGGTCCCATTTTTTCTCTCTAGTGACTAGAAGAGAGATTAATCCCAATCTGAATGTCAATAACAGCTACAGCTAAGGTTGGTTGGTTTGTTTGTTTGTTTAATGGCAAACAGTGATTTCAACTGGTAGCTAAGAAGATCCTTCTTAACCACTTAATCAGTGGGCCAAGTTGAGCAGTCATACTAGATCTAAACAGAAAATGGCTGAGCATGTCACCTGAATATGGTGAAAGTGTTTTGGCATCGATGGAAAAGCAGCAAGATAAAGAGTTAAACATGGACAAAGTCAAGTACTCATACAGGAAAAGCTAAGTACTACCCATATAGGCCATCATTTAAGCCATTATTTCATTCACCAACTGGTGAACCTAGGAAAAGATCTATTTGAAACATTTGCTGGAATCATACGCAGGGCAGTGCTACTGCAGTCATATCCTGTTTATTGGGTAATTAGAAGCATTTTGTTGGTTACTGTTGAAACTGAATACTGGATTGAATAGACTTTGTTGAGATCAGCCCAGTTCTTCTAACCTTCTTGTTGGGTGGAATAAGTATGTACAACAAAGGTAAATATATTCTTTTGGATAAGGTATATTTTATTGCATTAGTTGACTGCAGTTCTATTTACTTTAATATAGGGCTAAGATTTCTAAGATCTATTTGCATATATATACAGTTAGAACTGTGTTATCTAATAGCTTATTGGGATTTGCAATTTCTCTTATCTAACAGAAAATGAAACATGTTGAAAAATGCATTTACCCCAAAATAGCATCTGGTTTCAACAGATTGTGCAACCCTAAGCAGCTTAAAACTGAAAGCAAAAATATTTCTCTAATCTACTTTTTTGCAAATGGTCTGAACGATGAGATAATACTAGCTTTCTGATTTTCACTATATATATATATAGCCTTCTACAGAGTTGATTACTTCTAGTAATGACAGATGCACTACTTCTAATTTACTAGTATGATATGCTAACTTTAAACAATAACTATAGTTCTAAGTACAAAGTGACTGTGAAAATCTCACTAAAAACCTATGAAATATAAGCAGCCTGACTTTATGGAGGACTGCATGAAAAATAAATATAAATAGTTTTTAATCTAAACCAGTGCTTGACAGAATAGGAAAAATCAAACTTAGTTGTTCAGAACAGTTCATAATTCAGGAGTTATCTGCGTTGACTCTTTTCTAGCTCCTGAAGCAACCGATTATAGTAAATCCTAAAAGGATTCTTTCTCCCAGAGATCAAAATGGTCTTGCATCTTCCAACCTATATCCCTAACAAAACACTCAAGTGTATTTCACCCATATTTAATTGCATATAATACATTCTTAACTTTATCAGGCATTTCACATTGTTGCCAAGCCTAACCCTTTGGGACTCTATCCATTTACTATGTTCACTGGCATTTAATTCCCTTGATAAAGAAATAGCATCTTCAGCAAAGGATGGATGTAATGGATATTTCTTAAACATAATAGCTGCAAAAGGTGTCTGTTTTTCTTTTCTTTTTTTTAAGTTTATGAACAGATTGAAAGGGAGCTAATAAACTTTCTCCTTTGTTTAATTCTAGATACTGCTATACTTGCTTAAATTTCTATATATTAAGCTGCTGTTAAAAATACAGAAATTAAGTCAGTAAAAAAGATAGGAACTAACACAAATGCAATTTTCTTCAACATGGATTAAACATTAATGATGTCAAGGTAGTGAGACACTAAGTAAAACTAGTCATGCACTACACCAAACTATAACATACCTTGTTTTGACTTAGCATATTACGTGAATCCAGAATGTGCAACTTATATACCATGATTTATGGCTGTTGTGTGAAAGAGAATATGATTGTCCAAGAAACCTTGACTGAAACCAAAATATGCATTGATGAGTGATGCATCTATACAATGAACAAACTGCAGGGACTGAAGTTCTTATCTTTTTTATAGGGCACTTCAGCCATAAGATCTTTCACGTGCCAGGTCCAAGTGAAGTTTGAATGGGATTCTAATGGAAGCATGGAATTTGAAGATGCAACACCCTGGCTTTACTTATGCTGAGGATACTGTCCCCAAAACAATTGTGCTCTTCTCAAAATTGTTCTCTATGACACCTGCTGAGCATGGACTTCTTTATCGAAATTCATATAAAATGTATAGATTTTAACATAAAAACTCTCAGAGAAATGTTTATTGCTGAAAATGCACCTCTGGAATTCTGCAGTAAGCAAGATGTTTATGGATCAATCAAAAGCATCATTACTGAGTAAAACCTCATGCTAATTGATTCCTATTTCTACGTGCTGCTGGCTTTCTGCACAGCATTAAACCAGTTGTGAATAAACCTACCCTTTAGCTATTGCCCAATAAAATAAAAATGGAGGCGCGCTCCGGGATGTCTGGTGAGAAACCATGGGCAAGCAAGAGGAAGGATTGCACGGTGGAGTGCTTTGGCTTAAAATTCAAGCCAGCTATGCTACCTTCCTCTAGCATATGTAGCTGTTATACATTATTTCCAGCCAGTGTAACTTTTATTATCATCTTATCTTGAATCAAGGGTTTTGTTTTGTTTTGCTAGACAGTAGGATTCAGCATTTATTCCTCAGTTTGCCGTCTGTTCTTTCACTGATCAGATATGGCAGCAGTTCTATTGTCTAATTTCTTTTGTTTTCTGAACTGATTGTGGGTTAAAATGACCTTATTTTTCTGTCCTTGATTATATACATTAAACCCAACACTTTACAAGGGAAATTACAAGAGAAGGCTAGACAGAAACATCAATGAGATCCCAGAAAAGAATGAAATTGAATAAGCTTATCTTACCACCCCATGGCTAATCAAAATCAGCTCTGCAATTGGTGAGGAACATGTAACTACTGTATAGTACAAATACCCTACCATTCAGTTTTATTAACAACTTTGATTCCTCCCCCTCCCCCCTTCCCTAGCACTTCAATTAAGCCTGCGTAACTTCAACTGTCTTAAAACTAAGCTAATAAAAAGAGGAGGCGAGGTCAGGGAGACTTCATCCTTTGCAAAAAAAAACTTTCGGAAAAGAAATCTAGACTACACAGTTCCACATCATACACAATCGAACAGAATAGTGGCATTATTATTATTATGTTATATTTATATTGTTATTGAACTGGAACGGCGAAAAGGGAGGAAAAATGGTAGAACGTCAACACGGTCCCGCAAAGAGGAAGGTAGGTAATGCGCGGCGGTGTGTTCGTGCGCGCACGGCGCGGGGCGGAGCTACGCCTCTTTGAACTCGGCGAGCCGAGCAGAGGGAGGCGGTCCCGTGGTGGGGCGTCGGGCCCTCGGCGCGGAGAGCTGCAGGAGCTGCTTCGCCTGGTTTCCGCCTGGTTTCCTTCGCAGGGGTCCCGGCGGGTACGAGGTCGTCCGTGAAGGAGTTTTCTTGTGATTTGGGTGTAAAGGCCAGTTCCGGCTTGGGAGCTGGATGGGAAGTGGCCAGAGCGAGGGTGGCTACAGGGGCGGCGGGCATGGGGGAGCGCCTTAGCACGGCGAGCTCCCCGCCGGAGCCAGACGGAGCCGCCCCCGAGCCGCGTCTCCCGGGCGAGGAGACTCAGCCTCCGCTGCCCACAGTCAGTGGAAGGACACCAAGGCCAGAGCAAGAGGACGATGTCGGACCTCCGCCTGCTGAACCGCAAGGCCAG